ATATTGTTACTTACAAATGTTAAATTAGTATCATCCGCGTACATTCGTGCCTGGGAGTGCTCAAGGCAATTTGGTAAGTCATTTATATACAGTAAAAATAGCAATGTTCCTAAAATAGTCCCCTGTGGAATACCACAGATTAACGTACGATTGTTAGAAAGGTGACCATTAACATAGCATTTTTTACTGCAGTCACTTAGATAAGACTTAAACCAATCACCCACAGCACCCCCAAGACCAAACGCATTCAGTTTTGATAGTAAAATTCCATGATTAACTGTGTCAAACTCTTTCTTAAGATCTAGGAAAACTACAGCATTAACTCGGCCTTGATTTCGTATCCAGGTATATATACATCGTTATCGCTTATTGTAGAATTAATCCATGTCTCATTTATTGTTAGGACATCGATCGGGCTAGTAGCAAGCAAAACTCGCAGCTCATCAATATGATTTACTAGGCTTCTCACATTAAGTGCCGCGAGCTTAAACCCGCGCGAGGTAGGAATAACGGACTGAATAGGATAAAGTCAATTTGAAATAGATTTTGCAAAACCTAGTAAGTTTTGTTGTAAAGCTAAACTACCTTGTCTATTTAAATGAAGGACCCCTCATATTTAAGTGACTTGCATTCATATTTGAATTACTTAAATAGGGGTTTCTATTGCGACTACAATAGCTTTTAAGAATATTATTAGTTTGAATAGCTTTAGCAGCTAGGTCATTATTGTTATTTCTTACCAGAATAGCTGGAATGCCAACGGCTGTATCTGGTGAATCTTCTTTTATTTGTGTTACAATGTTGACAATGGAGTCTGCTATTATTTTCGGCGTAGAATGACTTAGATGAAGGTTTTGGTTGAGTGACTTCACTTCGCTGTATTGTTTTGCAAACCAATTCCACATTATTCTCGCCGTCATTTTCCACAATTGTTTTCGTGCACGTTTGTTGGTAGTCATTTTGTATTAATTTAAGAGCTGTCAGCAGGCTGCTCTTTTCGCTTTCCAGATTCTTGTTTGCCATTTTCAAATCAAATATAATATGAGACATATCCATGTTTTGTTCCCTGAGTTCGTCGTTCTTTCTAATTAGCACAAGCTTATCTTCCTTTAGATCATTGACTACGTTTTCTAAAACCAAAATAGAATAGGGTTTGTTCTCTTGTATGTTGCGGAGCCAGGCTGTTTATTATCAAATTGTAATTCCCGTGCATGATCGATTGTGAAAAGATAAACCAATTTTTATAGACACTTAATTTGTGTCACGCGATACGTTTTGCACAATCAACTTTTCCTTCTATTCCTTCCATTTCTACTCGTTTTCGCCATCGAAGAGAGAAGAACTTGCGCATTATTTATAACCTGTTCTAGCGTGATCTTCCCTAAAAACTGTTTCATTCAAAACACTGATTAATGATTAATGCAGTGTCGGGCAGTCAAGATCTGCCCTACCATCCAATATCTAACAAGGTAATAAATATGACAGCTGTTGCCCGCGATTGAGCTCACGATGCAGTGATTGATAGATAGATAGATAGATAGATAGATAGATAGATAGATAGATAGATAGATAGATAGATAGATAGATAGATAGATAGATAGATAGATAGATAGATAGATAGATAGATAGATAGATAGATAGATGGATAGATAGATAGATAAATAGATAGATATATACAGTGGCGGAAATCTTGGTGGGGCGGGCGGGGCGGCGCCCCTCCCCCACCTTTACCGAAAATTGAAGAATTTTCGGAAATTTTGACCTAAAAGAGGGCTAAAAACAGTCTTTTCGAGTGCAAATGGGGGGGGGGGATATGTCGGAAATTTGAAAGTTTTGTCGGAAATTTAGGAGGTTTTGCCGCCCTACCGGAAAAAGTGAATTTCCGCCACTGGGTAGATAGATAGATGATTTAATACTTAAACTCGCAGCCTTGGTAATAACCTTTGGCTGAATAACTTTAACGTTAAGGTTTACAACAATACATTACAAAAGATTAATAAAAGTATTTGGCTATAAGCTATGTATTTACATGGATTAAAACACATTAAATATTTTACGTATATTCTGTATATTTACTGGAATTACAGTTGATAAAATCGTTTTTACATCCAATTGTCTTAAAATTAGGAACTGATAACTTTCTTCTTACTCTTAGAGTTACGTCAGAGTGGTTTAGTGTGGGTAATAGGCGATATAGTTTGCTTTGATCATTAACAATAGTTTTAAAAAATTGTTTGTGAGGTTTTGTCTCCGGTCGGCCAGAGACGTAAGACTTAGCTCGTTAGGTGCATTTTAGTAGGAGTGTCCAGGAAGAATTATTCTGCATGCCCTTCTTTGTAGTTTATCGAGGTCATCGGACAGATATTTAGGAAGAGAGTCATGGAACACTTCACACGCGTATTCAGCTACCAACGAATGCAAGATACATAAAACAAAAGGAGGTCTTTTGATGGTAATTTGGTTCGTTTTAATTGTCTCAAAAAGTATAAGCGAGATGAGACTTTTTTGCATACGGTCTCGACATGTGTGTTCCATTTAAAATCGTTGGATATGGATAGGCCTAACAGTGTTGCAGACGGGACCACTTCAATTTCTTTGTTGTTGATCATAATAGGCTCAATTTCGACATTTGTAATTGAAAAGCTAATACGAAGTTCTTTACACTTGGATTCCTTTAGATGCATACCATCGATTCTGGACTTCGCGGCGAATTCGTTAACATAAGTTCGCATTGCACTAGATTGATCTTTGTTGACAGTATCAGACATGATTGAGTAGTCAACGTCATAGAAAAAGTCAGGGACCTAATTTTGTCTCCTGCGGGACGCCTGCTGGTACAGTTTTTCATTCGGAAACACAATCGTCGCTTAGCTTGACTCTTTGGCTTCGCGCTGTTATAGAATCCAAGATCCAGCTAGTGCAGAATGGTTTGGGGGATACCGTAGTTTGTCAATTTAACCGACAGAATGCGGTGATCTATCATATCAAAAGCTTTACGGAAAACAAAAAGCATAACTTTGTTTGTAGAGCCATTGCCGTCTGTGTTTGTGTTCCTGGAGTGCAGCATGCTAATTAGGGCATGCTTGGTACTTGAGTTCGGGATGGATCCGAATTGCCTTGTATCAACTATTCTAGCTGATACTGCGGGTTTTAGGTGTCGCTCATCAACAAAATCTTCGTCTAATATTGATAGAATTGGAGTCAAAGGTATCGGACGTAAGTGGTTGTTGATATCGGTTATGGGTTTCTTCTTGGGAATAGCGACAATATCTGCCTCCTTCCAAGATTTCGGGACGCGACATTCACGATAAGAACAATTTAGAATATCTTTATATGGAAGCTCTAGGATGTCTGCGTTTTTTTTTAATACCCATGTTTGTATTCCATCAGGGTCATGGGCTTTCCTTGCGTTGAGTTTTGAGAGTTTTTCAAACACGTCCCTACAGTAATTGTAATAGTGGGTTCGTTTTGCGAATTTGATACTAAGTTCTGGAAGAACTCTGGAGCCAGAGGTACGAACTCTGCCATTGCGAAAACAAAAGCATCGTTTGTCTCGTTCGCTACTGCAATCTTTTCTGTTTTAAAGTGATATTCACTGGGTCTTAAGGCTCTGAGGATTTCTTCACTATTTCCGCCAGCAGAATTTGCACCACTAAGCTTCTTAACTTCGTTCCACCAGGAGGATGATTTACATTGTTTGAGATGTTGAGCACTGCAGTTTTCATAATACTTGCGCGACAGATTTTCCTTTCGCGGTTGACTCTATTTCTCAGGTATTTAAATTTGTGCGTGTTTCCCTGTTAAGGGCTTTTTGACGTTTCGTAATTAGCGTAGATAATTCGGGGTTCATCCAAGGCGGTTCGTTACACCGAACTGCAGTAGGACGCAATGGCATAATAAAATTCAACCCAGTTGTTATAATGGTTTCCAAAAGGGAGGATTTGCCCTCGCAAGAAACAACTTTATCAAACATGTTAGGAATATCCAACAGTTCTAAGTATTTCTGAATTGGAAATGCAAAACGAGAGCTCGGTCGTAAGTCTCTTTTCCACACCACTAACTTGTGTACCTTTTGGAGCTGGCTTCTATCTTTCGGTTTTAGCTCTACAGACATATGGTCAGAGAGGCCGAAGGGTGCACACTTTACTGGTTGGCCATAGTACTTATGTAGAGTTGTCAAAATGAGATCTAGGGTATTCTTTCCTCGCGTAGGAAAGTTGATCATTGTCGTGAATTATAGTTATACTTTAAGCGTGAGATATTTAATCTATTGTAGTCACCCAAGATAATAAATCAACAAATAGAAAAACGAGATTCTAACGCTGAGAGGCAGTAAGATAATGTAATCTAGCATTGCTGTGGCATCTGCACTAGGAGGGTGGTAAACAGTTCCAATGACTAAATTGCTAAATCGTCTCGGTAATCTAGACATGCGCATGTCGATCCATAGGACCTCGAACAAATCGTTACTGATTTCGTCTAACCTCTCGAAATCTACTGCGTCTTCAATATATACATGCAAACGCCCCCGTGTTGACCACTGGTTCTGTCTTTGCGGATGAGATTATATCATTGAAGATTGACTACATTGTCATGTATGTGATTATGTAACCAGGTCTCAACTATACTAATAATTTGGAATTTTCCGCGGCGTGGGGTTACTTCCCGTACTTCGTCAATTTTGGGGGCCAGTGACATTACATTGGATATAAAAAAAGCAGGGACGTGAGCAGCTTTTGAGTTTTTACTTACGATTGTGTTAAAATGCGTTTGGAATCTCCGTCAGGGTGATCTCGTAGTTAGTTACAGCGACATTTACCAAGTTGCATGGAATGCTTGTTCGCTTACGTATGTTACTATAACTTGCAATATTTCTGAAACTTGTTAAAGAACGTGGGAAAGATAGACATCCAGATAGGCTGTATCGTGACGTAATTCTATTACGTTCACACAGCGAGCCATAAATTAAATCATTATCCAGCGCACAAAATTCAGATAGTTCATCCATTCGATTCTGACCCCTTTCTTTGCATTCGGTACCGAAACCAAGGAAGATTGGTGCTGTTGGCCGCTTTGATCTGGTGGCCCGGACACGATTTGTTCTGGCGATTCTGCGCTTGAGGCGGTCTGTTCCGAAAGCGCTGGCGGTTCCGAAAATAATTTTTTTGCAGTTGTTCATTTGTTTTATTTGGTCTATACTGCCTTTCAGCCTGATTTTGTAGTTGCCCATTTCTAGTAGGAGAAATAGGTTGTTTTACAAGATTTCTAATCGTAGGGGTTTTGATCAGAGGTAAACGTCCCAACCATTCTTTATTTTCGTTAGTCAATTGACGTTTCGTTTTACTTTCGCCCATTTGCTCTGTCATATTATCATAAAGCCCTACTTCTGGTAAACGCTCCGCTAAAGGATTCACCTGACTTGGATCTTTAAAACTGTGGGTAGACGTTTGTGTGGACATCTCATTAGCAACATAAATGTGATTGTCATTCGTTTGAATGGGATTAAAGTTATCTTTTATTTCCATATTTATGCTGTTTGCCGACAGCCTTAATTGCTCGTTTAACGTTTCGACGGTTTTAATTATTTCACGTAGGGAGGTTATTGTTGTGTTTAAATCGTCAACTTCGGTATTTCGTTTGCTAACAAGAAAGCCTAAATCAGAACTTAATTCGGTAGACTTTTATGTAGATATCTCATTAGCAACATTAACGTGATTATCGTTCGTTTGAATGGGGTTAAAGTTATCTTTTATTTCCATATTTGTGCTCTTTGCCGACGGCCTTAATTGATCGTTTAATGCTTCAACGGTTTTAATTCTTTCACGTTGGGATGTTATTGTTGTTTTTAAATCGTCAATTTCAATATTTCTTTGACTAACAAGGGAGCCCGGATCAGAACTTAGTTGGGCAGACTTTTGTGTGGATATCTCATTAACAACATTAACGTGATTATCTTTCGTTTGAATGGGATTAAAGTTATCTTATATTTCCATATTTATGCTCTTTGCATGCCGACGACCTTAATTGATCGTTTAATGCTTCGATGGATTTAATTCTTTCACGTATAGGAAAGTTATTGTTGTATTTAAATCGTCAACTTCAATATTTCTTTGACTAACAAGAAAGCCCAAATCAGAACTTAGTTGTGCATTTTTTTCCGGTAACACAGCACTTAATTGAGATGTTATATTGGATATTTTACTTTCATCTAAGGCACACTCAATGCCATTTAACACACTTGATCGGAGCTTGTGTATTAGCTTCATGAACTTTCAATGTAGGGTATATGTATGATTGATTGTTTTGAGAGCAAAGTAAAATGCACTTATCTCGAACAAGCTAGATCTCCATCCTTTCCATGTAAAATGAACGTGTTCTGTTTTCCTTTATGCCATGTAAGAACCAGATCAGCATTTGAGCTACAAAATCTCTTTGATTGGCCTCCCGGCGAAGACTACTTTCCTTCGAGATTCCAAATATCGCTTATAATTTGCTTTTAGTTTCAGCAAACCTTCACACCATTTGAGACGACAACCATCATATAACATTCCTGATAAACTAATATGTTTTGAACTTATAAGAAAGGCAGCTAAAGGCTGACTTTGATTAATAAAACTTTCATTCAACATGAATGCATTTGTGTCAGCCATGTTGGAGCACTGGTGTATACATAGGAACGCGAGATTCATTGTCAATGTGCTGCTGCAAATTGACTCCACGAAGAAATTTTTTAGCTGATTAGCGTTTAATTATTTAAGAATTAAATGGAACGACACAGCGATTTTGCATGATCTATCAAGTAGTTTTCTCCCACGTAAAACTTCCATATCTGGGAATGAATTAGCCGTCGCTGAACATCTTTCGGCATTCAGCGGTAGTTTCCGTAGTGCAGTGGTCATCACGAGCGCCTAACACGCGCAAGATTCCCAGTTCGATCCTGGACGGAAACACTGGATTGATGGAAACGTTCTGATTACAACTTTCTTTCGATTGAAAGCAAGCAGGCATAAATTTGCATACGGTTAACTGGAAATATTTTCTCCAAAATGCCACACTTAAGGCTAGTAGTTAGTTTCCAGTCAGGAAAATTATCCGTGGAGTGGACGGACAAGAAAATATTTCTTTGTGTTAAAGTCATTAGTTCCAACCCAGAGCTCACAAGACAAAGGGCGCATTCCATTTAATAGCCTGACTGGTTAGACCCAAATTTTTTTTCTCTGTATCAATGGAAATATCTGGTCTATGTTTCTCAAATATCTAGCGAAAATGGACCATTTTATCTAAATTTTGCGGTCAGATAGGTCCAATGCCCAAAAGTTTTGTGTTTCATTCAACAATTTGACCGTTCTGACCGGTCTCGCCGTGTCAATGGAAAACGCCCAAAGAAATATTTTCTTGTCCGTTCCAATCCACGGATAATTTTCCTGAGTGGAAACTAGCCTTTACAGCAATCCATGCTGAAATAAGTCTTTGGAATGGAATTCGGACCCTGGCCGGAGAAATATTAAATATCTTTTTGTTTCCGTAATAGGAGCAAGTTTATACATGCCCATAGCATTATAAACTTAAGTTAATGAAACAAGCGTTAGAACAAGAGTAAAAGTTGTGCAAAGTCTCCTGGAGTACAAAGGTCTGGTACAAAGGTCGATCTGTGAATCGTGTGATCATACACGTGCAAAGCGCAAGGCTGAATTAACAACAAACCATTGTCAAATCTCTTCCCATGCGTGCGGGAAAATAGACCAATCAGGTTTCACCTCTTCGTCTGCATAGTTTCCTGCTTGGATCAGTAAGCCTCATTGTGTCACTTGCAAGCAAAATTGTATGATCTCTGTGGCAAAGTACTTAAAAATTATACTTTTGGAAAAGATATTTCGTGGATATAAAACAACGGTCAGTAACACAGTATTATTCAGTGAGACGCAGTTTATTGAAATATAGCTCTGCCGCGGGCAAGCGCTTTTACTCTTCTGGTGGACAAAGGAATACGTTGGCTCAAGTATTGATGTATAATTCAGTGAGACGCAGTTTATCAGTCAAATATAACTCTGCCGCGAGCAACCGCTTTTACTCTTCTGGTGGACAAAGGAATACGTTGGCTCGTGTATTGATGTATGATTCAGTGAGATGATGTTTATTCAAATATAACTGCCGCGGGCAAGCGGGCAAGCGCTTTTACTCTTCTGGTGAACAAAGACTACCTTGGCTCAAGTATCGATGTGTGATTCAGTGAGACGCAGTCTATTCAAGTATAACTCTACCGTGGTCAAGCGCTTTTACCTTTCTGGTGGACAAAGGAATACGTTGGCTCAACCGATGAAGTTAAATGAAGCCGCCGCTGGGGGAATTATAACAAGATCGAGAGGCCATACACGAATTCAACAAGCGTCATTTGATATCATTCGTATATCAATGTATATGTATGCACATGCATTTGGTGCGTAAGTATGCGGTGAATTCACACGTTTGCTTCGTATTTCGCTTTTCAAACCAACCGAAATGCTTTAACTTTATCTATTTTATCACAGAAATGACAGAATTCGGGAATAGTAATTGTCGAACGCCAAATGTATCGACTATTCACGCTAAATCGATCTGTATTTCAATTTCGATTTCAATGTCAATTTTATTACCATCTTGAGGTCATTAATTAACCGGCCGGATTGGGCCTCTGATTCGGGGATTGGGTTTCAATAAAGCGTCACATTAAACTGTATTCAATCACTAAAAAGTAGATTATATAAAACTTCCTTTCTAGCTATTTCAGGGCACTCTTTAATAAAACAAACACTAATTTGGCCCGTATACATTATCAATACCTTACTGGGCACAACATAGGAAATCAAGTTCATGTGTGAGAGATATTTAGGATCTACTTTATCTACATTTGCGATAAATCGGCAAGTTGGATATGTCATGAAAGATTGGTTACTCATGAAAATTCATTAATGTCTTATCACTATACTGCATGATCTTTTTAGTCTACCAAATACATAATCTTACAATTTCTGCTACTCTCGTGCATGCATGCATGATTGCATGTTCAATCACAACACTGTGGTTATAAACACCTGAATTGCATTTTGATCCTGCTATTTTAAAATATTGAACAAGCTATTTTTCCTGAGATTAAAGTCATATAATTCGAGAATTACATTATGTCAAGTTCCACCAATCATAATTCAAATATAATAAGTGGGGTTAACAAATACATGTTGCAAAATTGCTATCGAACACATTGACATTAAAAATAAATAAATCGTGAGAAAAAAATAAATAAATGATGGTGAGCTTTGTTTGTCGTGTTACCAACCCTCCAATCAAGCACTTGTAAGATAGAAGCTTTGTGGGGAAGCTGCTGGTTGTCTTGGCCCCATCCAGGTTTCCTGTAAAGATATTGCAGGTTTTTCCTGGCCTCCCTGATGTTCCAGCTGTAGTATGAGTGATGGTAATGCTCAAATATATGTCTTACGATCAACTTGTAGTTAAAAAAAAAAAAAAATTCTATTTGCATATAACATGATTTTAATCAATTAATTATTTAAAGTGTGTCGAAAGACAAATATAGACGACATGTCTTCGAAAAGCACAAAGATCATCTGTCTTCTATACGATTACAGTTGTGGTGGGAGTTGGGTTTTTTCGTCTATGGGGAATACACATGCTGTGTATTTGTGGGGATGGAGTGCTCCCAAAGGTCACCCTCAACCCCATAGACTCACACAAATCAATGTATTATACAGTGTATTGTAAAGTAAACAATGACCATCACGGGGATCTACTACCCCTTGGACATTAAAGTAAACAATGACCATCACGGGGATCTACTACCCCTTGGACATTAAAGTAAGCAATGACCATCACGGGGATCTACTACCCCTTGGACATTCAGGATGCCCATCTCGGGGATCTACTACCCCTTGGGTAAAGTCCAACATGGGGGAACCACAACCCCCTGAGGACATACAGTATAATTATATCATAATCATATTGCTGTAATAGTGAGTCTGTGGGGCGACACTTTGGCCACAGTTTAAAGTATAATCGGAGCATTTCTCCTCGACAACCCTTCTCCCACAACATTGTGTGTGTCATAGTTGTTTTCTTAATTGTCCTAGAATATTTGCTTAACGAATTGGTGCATTAAGTTCAAATATGTTAAAAATTGCACCAGTGTATTCAATGGCCTCCCAGATTAATTTTAAAATTTTCAACCAGGAGTGGGATTCGAACCCACGCCCACATTAGTGGACCAGAACGCCCTTTGGCTGCGCATTAGCAGAGCAAGTTTGGAAACTTGAGTCTGGCGCCTTAGACTGCTCGGCCATCCTGACAGCTGGCAAATGTTGTGCCTACTGTACATTACGTCATTTTACTTTCTTAATAATGGAGAAAAGATACTTCATTTAAAATAGAAAAAATATCCGGCTGCAACTAACTCAACAATGATTACTCACATCGCATCTAAGTGCTCTTACTGTTGTTTCAAGAGAACAATCCAATTCGACCGATGCAGCAGGATCTCGATCATGAATGATTTTTCTGTCAATTTTGAATGATTGATACTGGGGAAATTTTCAAAGGGTTCGGGGAATGCGAATGTTTCGGTAGTGTATGCTTCATTCCTTGTTGAATTCGTCTCGCGTTTAATGGTTTAAGCATAGAATCGCCCAAAATATCAACTCTGACCCAAATTTAGGTATCCTGCCTATTCGCGGGTGGGATGATTGACAGTACCGGGGGGAGGGGAAAAAGGACAGAGGACATGTGAGCGAATACGAACAACAAACGTTGGAGACGAGAGAGTTTAGTCGAAATTTTGTATTTTATTTTACTTTGTTCTTATTTATTATATCATTTTTTACTTGTGTGTGAGTGTGAGTGTGAGTGTGTGCCGAGTTACGGGTCGGTACATTTGGTGCCGTGACCAGGATTTTTACGAAGAAAAACGAGCGAAATCAACAACGAAGTACGTATATATTTTGTGATATTTTGGCGCCAATATTTGTTTATCGTATTAAATCTCGAATTCAGTGATACTATTGCGGAAAAATATAACGGACATGATGGGAGACGAAAGCAACGAACAAGTAGAGGGTTTAGAAGACACCGAGCGTACGGAAACTTCGATACAAAAGGAAATTGCGAAGCTAGAATACTATTTGGAAGGGACAGACGAATTGATTCGAACGAATGACGTTGAGGAAATAAAAACAACGGTTAAACAAACATCCAAGATTATGAGCAAACTTTCGGAGCTTATTTCACAGCTAGAAGAGTTTAAAATCGACCAGTGGTATTTCACCTAGAACTGTTCGTCAGTGGAAAAAGGATATCAAGGCGAAATATGCGGAATTATTGCTGGACAAGGAGAAACTTTCTGACTTTTTAGAGTCAAGGGAGCGACGAACGCAAGAAGAATCTGAACGGCGAAAGTGGGAAGCTAAACAACAACTAGAGGAGGCAGCAATCGTTGAGAGACACGAACGTGAACGGAAATTATGGGAACAAAAACTGCAAGCCGAGTTGGAAATTAATGAGAAACGTATGGAGCTAGAAAGGGAAGCAAAGTCTACTAGTGCCAAATTGCCAAAATTGAAGATAACCCCTTTCAAGGGAACTGTTGTAGATTGGATTCGTTTCGAGAATATTTTCTTGAGCCAAATTGACAAGAAACCTATTTCGAACGAAGAGAAATTCGGCTATTTGCTCGAACTGGTGAACCCCAAGGTCAGAGACCGGTTGGCAAATCTTAAACCAAGTACCGAGGGATATGAAACAGTGTGGAAAAGGCTCAAAGCAGAATACGGACAGACCAAACAAGTTGTAAATGCACATATGGAGGAAATTATTGGGTTACCTGTGGTCAAAGGTTCTAACTATACGAAAATCCAAGAATTTTACGAAAGGTTGAGTAAGAGTTTCGACGCTCTGCATACTTTGGGAGAGGATGGGCCTCTCAAAGCCTTTGTGATGACGACATTGAACAAACTTCCACATATTAAACCAGACCTGGTACGAACTGACGACAAATGGGAGGACTGGAGCTTGAAGGATTTACTGGATAACCTGCAGAAGTGGTTACTTAGAAATAAAACGACAAACGATTCGAAGCATAGCGAAGAGTCATCGAGAAGAGAACGGAACTGGTTTGCTGGAAAGGCGAGTGGAGGAAAACCGAAGAGCCCCAAATGTGTCTTTTGCAAAGGTGAGCATTACTCGGACAGTTGTGAAGAGATTAAGGATTTAGATAGTCGCCGGAAGTTCTTTACGAACAATAAACTGTGGTATAATTGTGGTCAATCTGGCCATCGAGCGAATAATTGCCATGGGGAGAGTTGTTTCAAATGCAAAGGGAAACACCATACAAGTCTGTGTGACGGGAAGAAAGGTCCCATCCTAACTGGGTATACCCCCTCAGATACCACATTACCACCCATAATTCCTGTGAACATACAAGGCGTGACATTGTGGGCATATCTAGACACAGGGTCAGGGAGAAACTTTATCTCTCAAGATGCCATAGCAAAACTGAAATTATCTCCTGTACACGGTGGGCATAAAAGACAGCGAATTTGGCCAAGTACATATAACTTTCTCTCGTTAGTTTGGAATATCACGAAACTCCCTCACAGGATAGAACTTAACATTCCTAAAAATCGTATGTTTTTTGTTTTTCGATTTTGTTACATTTTGGCGGGAAAATGACGTGCCAACTTTGGCGCCAAAAAAATAAACACAAGCTAAGAACTTGCTAGTAACTTTTTCGAAAAGATTGTCCTATAAGGATCTCAAAATTGTAAAAACATTAAAAATACAACAAGGCAGTGCGAAGATATGGCGATTCAAAGTTCGAAAAAAATCTATTTTTAGTAACAAAATGACTGATTTTTCAGTAAAAATCTATAGAACTTTGAATCGCCATATCTTCGCACTGCCTTGTTGTATTTTTAATGTTTTCACAGTTTTGAGATCCTTATAGGACAATCTTTTCGAAAAAGTTACTAGCATGTTCTTAGCTCGTGTTTAATTTTTTGGCGCCAAAGTTGGCACGTCATTTTCCCGCCAAAATGTAACAAAATCGAAAAACAAAAAACATACGATTTTTAGGAATGTTAAGTTCTATCCTGTGAGGGAGTTTCGTGATATTCCAAACTAACGAGAGAAAGTTATATGTACATGGCCAAATTCGCTGTCTTTTATGCCCACCGTGGTACACCACGAAACTCGTCATATTGTCACTGTGAGTGGGTCGAAACAACAGGCCATGCCCATTTTCAATGTTGAAATGGCCTCACTTGATGGAACCGCCAAAGAGAGAATTGAGATTACTGGGACCAAAATGCCTAACTTTACTACCATTAAGCGACCAGACATGAACGAGCTGAAGCGGGAGTTTGAGCATACTAGGGACAAACGGTTCTACATGCAGCCGGATCACAAATACCCAATACATCTTATAGTTGGGGATAACACGTTTTCTCGAATGAAAACAGAGGAGATCTACAAAGGGAAACCAGGAGAGCCAGTGGTCGAAGGAACAACATTTGGTTGGATAATACATGGCGGGGACCTTGCTAACGATGAGTGCATGTATTGCAGAGATGTGAGCGACTACCAGATGTTGTATAGTCTTGATGTGCTTGGTGTAGAAGACTGGGGAGAAGACGATCAATTGGATGTTTACACCGAATTCAACGAGACCATTGTTCGAGACAAGGAAGGACGGTACCAAGTCAACGTTCCATGGATACCTGGTGCTCAACTTACAGAGACAAATGAGATACAGAGCAAGAAACGCCTGCGTTCGGTCACAAAGAAACTCAATCAAGACCTCGGTTTGAAAACAGAATACCGGAACATCGTAGCCCAACAGCTTGACAAAGGAATCATCGAGAGGGTCCCAGGGGAACCGACCGGAAGTTGTGTGTTTTATATGCCACATAAACCAGTGGTAAAATCTTCTGCCACAACCACAAAGGTCCGAATGGTGTTTGATGCCAGCGCGAAGCCAAACCCACTCGCTCGAAGTGTTAATGAGTGCATGTATAAGGGCCCTGCACTATAATAATAATATAATAATTAGTTTTTTATATAGCGCATCTTCCATAAATGTCCAGATGCGCTTTACAACTTATAACTTACAATATTTATACAACAATTGCTTAATTTAAAGTTTTGTAAAATAGACTATAAAAATCGATCTAAAAATAGTTAAAATTACTCTAAATAAAATCCTTATATACAATTCGGAACAAATGCGTTTTCAATTCTGATTTAAAAGATCCTATAGATTCACATAGTCTTACATTCTGAGGCAGATTATTCCACAATATTGGTGCAGATACCCTAAAGGAACGTCTACCATAGGTTTCCAAGTTATAATTTGGAACTACTAATTTCCTATCTGATGATGATCTTAAATTTCACCTAGGCACATAAACTTCCAACAGGTCAGAAATGTATCCTGGTGCTTGTCCAGATAAAGCCTTAAAAGTGATCAATAGTATCTTATATTGAATCCTTTCCTTGATTGGCAGCCAATGTAGATTGAATAGCACTGGTGTTATGTGATCTCTTTTCCTCGTTAATGTGACAATTCGTGCTGCTGCATTCTGAACTTTCTGGATTCGCTCAAGAGCAGTGTTCAATAGTCCGTGTAACAATGTATTTCCAAAATCAAGTCGGGATGTAACCAGAGCATGTACTAAAATCTCTGCAGATTTAAGGCTTAGATATTTTCGTACTTTACTGATTTTCCTTAAATAATAAAATCCAGATTTGCAAATGGTTGATACTTGTGATTCCATAGTAACATTTGAGTCCATTATAATCCCAATATTTCTCGCCTTGGTAGAGAGGCCAATGACATCATCACAAACATTTATATAAGACAAAGATGGACTTGGACGATGGCGAGCAGAAAACACCAGTATCTCTGTCTTGTCACTGTTCAACTTTAGCTTATTCATGGTCAACCATTCATCTAATTCACGGACACACTCTTCGATCTTCGTTTTTGCAACTATCAGATCGTCTGGATTATTTGATTTGAAATTTTTGATGATTTAGGCGGTATATTCATTATACAGAGCTATGAAGGAGCTAGACAGTGCTTTTTTTCAAATGTATAAACATTTCAGACGTGAATATTGAGTAAATCTTTGAGAATCTATACGCAATATATAAACCGATGTTATGCATTACGGCGGGGCATTCAATCAAGTACCGATGTTATTTAGGAGGTATATATTCATTATACAGAGCTAGGAAGGAGAAGACACTGCTTTTTTCAAATGTATAAACATTTCAGAGTGAAGATTGAGTAAATCTTCGAGAATCTACGCAATATATAAATTGATGTTATGCATTACGGTCATTCAATCAAGTACCGATATTATTTAGGCGGTATATTCATTATACAGAGCTATGAAGGAGCTAGACAGTGCTTTTTTTCAAATGTACAAACATTTCAGACGTGAATATTGAGTAAATCTTTGAGAATCTATACGCAATATATAAACCGATGTTATGCATTACGGCGGGGCATTCAAACAAGTACCGATGTTATTTAGGAGGTATATATTCATTATACAGAGCTAGGAAGGAGAAGACACTGCTTTTTTCAAATGTATAAACATTTCAGAGTGAAGATTGAGTAAATCTTCGAGAATCTACGCAATATATAAATTGATGTTATGCATTACGGTCATTCAATCAAGTACCGATATTATTTAGGCGGTATATTCATTATACAGAGCTATGAAGGAGCTAGACAGTGCTTTTTTTCAAATGTACAAACATTTCAGACGTGAATATTGAGTAAATCTTTGAGAATCTATACGCAATATATAAACCGATGTTATGCATTACGGCGGGGCATTCAAACAAGTACCGATGTTATTTAGGAGGTATATATTCATTATACAGAGCTAGGAAGGAGAAGACACTGCTTTTTTCAAATGTATAAACATTTCAGAGTGAAGATTGAGTAAATCTTCGAGAATCTACGCAATATATAAATTGATGTTATGCATTACGGTCATTCAATCAAGT